TGAGCACCATTGTAACACAACTGCATGGTGCAGAAGGCATTTCTTTGCTTTCAGTATCTGAGAAATATCTCACAAGAACATACAGCATCTCATACCAGTTACCACTTCACATAAAGATTTTTCTTACTCTCCGTTTTTCATGATTTTAGCATCTTTGCATGCAGGGTTGCATTTCTAGCTGTTCTTCTATTTGACGTCTTAATAGTTCATTGCTTGTAGCCATGTAGGGAATGTTAAATAATGCTCTGATGTATAATTTGTCGCTCCACAAACATTCCAGCTCCCGGCCTACCCTGGGAGTTAATGCAACAGATTTGTCATACACAAACCAGGCACAGCTAGAGGAAACGGAAAAATACACCTATTCAATCTGAATTTCAATCTCCATGGGGCTCTATGCAAATGCATGCAAGATTATGCTCTCAGTCTGTAAGAGTGACAGAAAACAGTGACGAAACGAGGCTGCATATTTGAAACCCTGTCTGACAGGTAGAAGAAATAGACGAAAATTAGGTTAGAAAAGAAACACGGGGAGAACCTCACTTTTCTGGAATACATAAGTAGGTGAAGCTAAAACCAAACCAAATGCAGATACCTGTAGCAAGTAAGGAGGCTAAATTCAATTTTGATCATTTCCTCCAGGAAACCCTCCCCTCCCTTCCTTCCCCCCATCTCTCATTGCCGTGCCCTTCAGCATAATGTGGATATGCAGCTTCTCTGGGGCTTTTTAGGGAATTGATGGATAATCAGATGATTACACAGAAAATCTCCATTGAGGACAATCCTCCCTGACAAACAAAAAGAAAGCTCTTTAGTTAATAAACAGGCTGAAAGACAGACAGAATGAGAGTGAGGGTGCATGGGAGAGAGAGAGCGTCCGTAAATCCTGTCCTGGGTTGGCAACACAATGCCAAATCTCTACCACATATTCATTGCATCCCAGCCTCTATGTGTATGTGTGTGTTCGTGTATGTGTTGCCAGAAACATCACTTCATGGGGATGTCACAGAGTTTCCCTCTAGCTTTATCTTAATCTGAGCGTATCTAAATAAATTTTAAGCTCAAGGCGTATTTGTATGAAACTTTCTGACAACAGTTGGCTGATGTTCATTCTTATGATTTTCTTAGTGCTGAACTACTTCTCTGAAAGAGAAAAGTTTGCAGTGAAACACAACTCAATACTCAAAAGGAGACAGAACTACAAGCGGTCAAGCTGAGCTCCATATTAATGCCTATGGATTTAGAATGGAATATCATAAAAACACCTGTAGGTGTAATGTGTAGGTGTCCCAGTGCCTTGTCCATATTGTGTATGTTTACTGGTTTGAAACAAAATGTATGTATTGAAAATGCAGAAGCAAACTGATCTTAATTAAATACAAATTAAAAAAACTGAATTTCTTGATTAAATGAGTATTAATGAGAGGCAGCAATTAAAGCTTTGAGTCTTTGTGGATAGTTTATAATCAACTGGATACTAATTATTTCTTGCAAAAACTGCTTGTATTCTGTTAAACCACATAGTATATGTAAGTGAACAGCAGTTTTCACATCCCAGCGCAATTTGTTCACTTGATTGTAATCTGAATTCAGATTTTGAGTTGCTTAAAGCTCATCTTGGCATAAATTATATGAATATATATAACATAAGCAAAATACTGCTTTATTATGCTAAACACTTAGCTGTTGCTTTATTTAAACTATTAGAGAATGGAGTATTTGTGATGCTTCATTCAGTTGGCTATAACCACATGTCTGGTATTTTCAGATAACTACAACATCTGTCCACCAGAATCCTGTTCATTTCAACTGGACATGACTCTTTGCTTGGATGAGCCCAGCACCATAAACCTTCAGGCGCTCTGTGGGGAATGGTGACAATTTAGAGAAGTCCAGGCCAGAGTAAAAGAAAAAGGAAAAACATTTGTATTTTGTTTTAGCCAAGAGAGGACTTGGTTTTGACTAGATAGCAGAGTCACAGCAGTACTGGATGGACGATTGTGGTTCTCCACTTGCAGTCTGATGTCTACAGGAGTGCTAAAGTGGCTGGCATAGTCATGTTAGCAATAGATGCTGGTGCAGAGGTGAGACTGCCAAGCTCAATTGCTGTGCCAGCCTTGGCTTTGGCGTTTGAAGTGGGTCTGGAGGCTGCAATGTTGAACAAGTTTATGGCTTCAGTGTTGCTCCAAAGGGGAAAGGAAAAAAACAACAACTGAGAGTTGGAACTAGATGCTCTGGCATGAGAGACACGTTGGCTTTTTCATACATATGCCTGAGCCTGCAAAACCTGGCTGGTACATAGAGTTAACATTCTAGCTCCACTATCCTTAAGGTCCACAACAATGGATAATGCTTAAAAAAAATACTGAATATGTATAGCTATATATATTCACAAACACTCCCTACATATTTACTGACAATATAAGCACACAACACATGACTGAAATCATAGCTCAATCTATCAATACAGAAAGTAATAAATCAATCAGTTCTTCTGCAGGTTTCAACAAGTTAAAATTAAAACCTTTTTAAGACAACATTGAAACAGTTCTAAGACCTATGTCAAGTAAAACAGATATAAAGGACTATTGGAAATCCCGGAAAATAAGGTGAAGAAGCCTAGAAGAGAAAAACCCTCTATATGTCACATCACTGGACAAGTTGATAAGTATTCATAATCTTTCATGGGGACTTAAGTCACACAGGGTGAATGTTGGTCTGATCGGGCTCCAGAACATCTCTGAGACATCTTCATTAGCAAAAGAAGATTTTTCAAGCTGCATTTGGCTGCAAATGTATGAACACTAGGCAGATGAAGACAAAACTTGTGCTAGCTTGTGGAGTTCATAACATGTCCTTGTCAAAATGAAATGTTAGTTGATAGTATATGTAAGGACATAAAAAATCGACTGTGATACAGTGAACTTTACATCACACTTTTAACAATTCATCCATCACCCTTTATGACTATACAGAAATATGTTGAAACCCTACAGCTCTGGTGAATGCTGGTCTGATTAAGATGAAAAACATCTTATGAATAAATAATCAGAATGTTACTTACCTTTCAATAGATCAAAGAGCTAACATGGCAAAAAAGCCTTTTTGACAATGTTTTAATATCATAAAATAGCTGATTAAGCAAAACGTAACAACTTAGCAATTGTACCTTCTTAGTAGATATTGGTTTTCATCTTTTCAAGATAAATATTGCATTGTGAGGACATTTTTCTCTTCTACTGAATTAAGATGGGACTTTAATTAAAAAAATAAGCCATTGCCTTTGAATGCTCTTTTACACCGTTTGACCCAAGACGGATTTAGCTCGCTGCTTCCTGTAAAGGGCTTAACGATGCAAGAGTTGACAGGCAAAGCAGATTGAACGGTCTCTACCTGCAGTGACTTCCAGCAACCTCCTCTTCTTCTGCTGTCTTTCCTGCTTTTCACGCTCAGCCTTCTCCTTTGCAACCCGTGCTCTCCTCTGTTTCTCCTCCGACTCCCTCTGCCTCAGGTTCTCCTTCAGAGCTTGCTGTGGGGAGGAGGGGAAAAGACGTAAAGAAAGAGAAAACAAGATGGACTGCTAAGTGGGGTTAATTACAGAAGTGTAACGCTTGTCAATAGAAGAAGCAGCTGTCAAACCCTACAGACATCTATATCAGGCACCATTAAAGTCAAATTAAGCTTTCAAAGTGCATTTTCACTCTGGTCCTGCTAGACACAAAACAGCTTGACACTAGAAAGTAAGGAGACCTGAGTTCTTTGGAGGTCCAACCTTTGGTATGGTAATCAAGAACTAAATCAGCATTCACTATTTATTTTATTATTATTTGTATAATCATATATGCATTGCCACTAAACTCCCAATAGCCCTTGAAATAAGAAATAGTAATCCAACATTATTCATGTCGTATGAGCTCATTATGCATTTTCCTCAGACAGGGACATTTTTAAATCTTTGTTACATTTCTGTGAATTGCAGCACTGATACTGGGATAGTGAGATTTAACATGCTTACACTATGAAAAGTTGACCCCAAATAAATTATGACAAATGAAACAGGCATTTTGTAAATCTATGAGTTCAGCAAGTCAGGTGAAAACTGTAACCGCTTAGCCAACTGCTAAAATGCAGTATGCTAAGAAAGTATAACGTTAAACATTTAATCATTAATGTTCTCTTCTCTGATGTCAGAGGGGGAAAAATCTTGTAAGTTACAAATGAAAAGAACCGAACAAGTATGAAAATGCATCAAGTATCAATTCACTGAAACAGTGAGACATTTTGAACATTCACCGATGGCAGCTTCGTCCAGTCAGTTAACAGCAGGTGAGTATTACTTACAGCGATACAATTCAATAGCAGCAGGCTGCTCAGGGGATATTGAGCTGAGTACAGCTTACAGGTGCCATTGTGTGGGTGGATGTTTGTGTCTACCACACAATCAGCAGATCAAAAAATAACTGTATTTAAAGCCACCTGGATTTGATCAAATCTGACTACACGATGCCAAACATCAGAGCAAGATACAATTAATGTAACTGGGATATTAAGGCAGCATTATTTGATTATCATGTCTTTATTGTTGCAAAAGTATAGCTTTCAAAAATGATAATGTTATTCAATGATTGCACATATTGTCTTGCCTTGGACATATATATACTGTTTATCCATCCATTGTCTATACTGCTTATCCTTTGAAGGCTGCAGGGAAGCTGAAGACAATCTCAGCTGACTGTGAGTGAGAGGCAGGGGAGAAAACACAGAAAGGCCCTGGGTGTTTGTCAGGTTCTGACCTAGAACAGTGATAACCACTGCAACACCACACACCACAAATGATTATATGCTAATGTTTTTTTCTTTTTTTCATCACTAAACTACTCTCACTGGAGTGTTTGAGAACCCATGCTGTCTGGACTGGAATTAAAATTCAATGATAATATCAACCAGTGTTATTTATCTTCCTAATGTAAAAGGTTTGACTTAATGACAGTCAAATAACTTTTAACAGACCCCTTTTTGTGGCATCTAGAGGTGAAGTTGCAGATTACAAGCAACTGAATACCCTTCCCCTCAACCATACCTTTCCAAATCTGCAGGAGGAGCAATGGACATCAGAGAACACAAAACCAATAAATGCTGGTATGGTTTGCTCTGAACCCCTGTTCAAGTTTTATAGCTTATATTTTTTATGACGGGGCTGCAGAGTAGTGCCTTAGTACCAGTACTTTCTGGTGGAGCACATCCTCATGGAATTTGCAGGATTAAATGTTATTCACTGTTAAAATGCAAGCCTTGTGACACCAAAAACACCTTTCATTGGAAGTGCAAGGTTAACATCAACCTATGGTATTGTGGTGTATTTTAATGTAACTTATGTTTAAACAAACTGATGTAGCCAATGACAAACCTGTCAAAACGTGTTATAAATTATATATTCTGTCTGTCTAGACCTATTGGATTTATAGGGACGGTATGCATACAAACGAATGTGATTACAGGTTCTGTAATCCATGCGCCAAAAAGCTGTTGAACTCATATGATGGTGTCAAAAGCTCAATAGTGCCACAGCCAAGAGACAGACTGCATATGATTTAATACTAGTGCCAGCATGATTGCCATCCTGATCAATAGCAAGTCACTTAAAGCGAGGGAGTCTTGGCTTTTATCAAACACCCGGCTCCTCTTCCTCATCTTCCCTCCCCTTGAGTTATTCACTCGGCCCTGGCTTGGCAGGGAAGTCAGGGGAAGAATGCCAAACCACCATGAACAGATGCATGCAAAAGCACACACTACAAGAACTGTGTAGTATATCAGGAGCTACAGTTGATAATAAAGAAGGACAGTCACTTACAGCCTCTTATTAAGTCTGCATTCAAGGGAGCGTTGCTGGAAATTATATTGTAGACTTGAAATAAATACATTTCAGCGTAGTCACTTTAAGATCAACAAGCCAATGAGAAATAACAATTCGAGTAAACAGAGTGAGTTACTGATGTGTTGATGGTAAACAAAATATTCACACTTTGATACAGCTCTTAGCGTATGATTGTTGTCTGTGGCCAAGAGTTGTTTTTCTCATTCGTGAACATACCACAAGGTCTGTTGGCAAATTAGCAAATATCTCACTATGTAGATATGGAGGGATATCTGCATTTTAATTTTCTCATCGAGTGCTCATCCAATCGCTAGGGAAGTGGATCAAATGTTCAAAATTTTTGGGATGTTCAAGAAATTCGACAGACAAGAATTCCTCCATTTACTTCTCTTTTTAGTGCAAAAGGTACTTTATCATTAGAGGAATGCAACCCCTACTTATTTCAACAGACCACTTTTTAGGTCTTAATGGCTAGTGGTGAGGTTGCAGATTGCAAGCGACTGAACAGCCTTCCCTTCAAGCTGACACTTCCAAGCATGCAGGAGGACTAATGGTGGCCTTCAGGGAGCCCAAAACAGTAAATGCTCTCTGAAGTCAGTGTGTGGTTTGTGTCCTCTATGAAATTTGTAGGAAAATCGACATACAGGGATTCCTCCATGTGTTTTAAACTCGCCATTATCACAGTTTCTATTTGAATCAAGACAAACTGCTTTGATGATGTCACTGAGGACAACATGAAGAGATCACGTTCCAGCTTGACTTGAACAGCACTTGTTTATATAAACAACCATAAAAAGACCATAGAACATAAAGACACTGATGAGCATCACTTAGCTGGTTTATAGAGAATTCAGAAGAGAGAGTGTTGAGGCAGGTGAGAGAGGTGAGATGAATATCAACTGACTGAGACACAAGCTGTTACCAGCTCTATTTTAAATGAAGCCAACTCCCCCACAAAATTAACTTTGATTTGATAGAATGACTATCGACGCTCAAGGCAACCATTAATTCACAAATGACTATTCTTAATAGGTATCCATTTTGGTAAATCACAGGTAGAGAAAAAACGAGGAACAAGGAGAGGAAAGAAAAAGAGGACTGATACATTATATGTTTACAGTAAGGAGCAATTAATGGATCCCAGGTTATAATTAGACAGTTTTCATGGTTACCTAATGTGAATTTAAAACTCTGACCCTCCTTCCCCTCATCGCTATCAAACTGCTGTCTTATTAAAAAGTCAACCTCATTTTCTAAAACACAATGCAAACATAGTTGTAATACCTTTGATGCAGGCAATGTTTTACCAACAGCAATCTACTCAGTGTGAGAAATCAGTTTCAATTACATGAGCTTCACAGATTGGATTGTCCAAACATATTTTAAAACTAAATGACTTGTAAAAGTAAACTTCTTTATCTTTTGCGAACAAAAACTGGATAAGACCAGATGCCATCATGCCAATGACTGTCTTAAAATGTAGGGCAATAATAATAGAGATTGTGTAAAGTTGATTTAAGGTTTTGAGTCATTAATCCAATCTGCAGCTTTGCCAGCAGCTTGTGCATGTAATATCATTACCATGCTAGCCAGGTCCACACTGATGTTTACAAGTGGATGTTTAGCAAGTGTAATGTTTATCTTGTTCACAATCTTCTTTCAGTGTGTAATCTAACATTTGCTAATTGCCAATAATAACTATGTGAAGGTGTTGCAGGTGTGTAGTCAGTCCCCAAACTGCTAATGATGCTGAATCAAACTTGTTATAATTCATCATAAATAGACCATGAATGTCTGCGCAAAATATCACAATCAGTGCAATTGTGGTTGAGAAATACACTAAACTATCACTTTATTAGGAAAGCCAATACTGGGGAGAATAGTCAGCAAGAATACTTTGCTCTTAGAACAGAGTAAATTTTTCATGGCATGGATTCCACATGTTTATTTTATTCCTCTGAGATTCTGGTGCATGTTGACATGACTGCATCACATAATTCAAACTGACATGCAGATAGTTTCACCATCTGACAAATCTGCTACTTATTTGTCAGATGGACGTTCATGCTGCGATTGCTCTATTGGATTTAGATCTGGCGACTGTGGAGGCTACTGAAGTAACTTGAACCCACTTTCATGTTCATGAAATCAATTTGATACGACTATTGTTTTGTGACATGGTGCATTATCATGCTGTGAGTAGCCATTAGTGAAGATGGGTAAATTGTGGCCATAAAGGGACGCAGATAGTCAGTGACACTACTCAGACAGCAGTGGCATTCAAACAATAATTGACTGATACTAAGGGGCCCAAAGAAAACATTCTCCACGCCATTACACCACCACCAGCCTGGACAGTTGTCACAAGGCAGGTTGGTTCCATAGATTTGGTCAGTTGACGCCAATTTCTGACCGTACCATCTGCGTGCCTCAGCAGAAAGACTGTGTTTTTCCAGTCATCAGAAGCTGTACAGTTTTGGTGAGCCTGTGCCGAACTGCATACTCATATTTCTGTTCATGTATCGCTCATTCACCTCACTTCAGCTTTCTGTTCATTCTAAAATGTTTTTTTTTTCTCCTGACTAAAGTTTTAAAGTGTAGTTATGTGAGTTTTAATGCTGTTCTGTCAACTTAAGCCAGCCTGGCCTTTCTTCTGTGACCTTGCTCATCAGAAGGGGTTTCTGTTCACAGGAACTACAGCTCACTGGATATTTTTCTTTGTTTCACATACTATTTTTTTCAAACATAAGGGTAAACACCTATAGACATTTGTAGTTTTTCGGTCTTGCAACAAGAATCATGTCATGGTCAAAATCAATGAGATCACATTACCCCACTCTCATGTTTGAGTTTAACATGTAAGGAGGCTCCTGATCTACATGATTTTATGTATTACACTGGTGTCAAATTATTGACTAATTGTGTCACTGCATGAATACATTTCATGACTGTACAACGAGCTGCCAACCAGAGACAAGCTTGGATCATGACTAACTATGTCATGAGTGGCAGCTGTTTTAAAAAATATGCCTATGCAGATCAACAGAGAAGGGATAACTGGGCAAAATGACATCATATTTAAAGCCAGGAAGCCGCCCTGCAGCCCAGGAAGAAAATGATAAATCAATAATGTGTCAATACAACAAGTGGGCCTGTTTAAGAGCAGACCACTCTTAAACTTCCCATTGAGAAGAGAACAGGAAAAGGAGCAGTTATATTTTTAAAACTTGAAATGAGCTCAGGCAGCACAAAGAAAGCCATGCTATCTTTTTAAATCATAAAACATATTAGCAATATAAGAATATAAGACAGAAAACAGCACATTAATGCCAAAGAAATCCTTCAAAGTGGAAAGCAAGGAAAATGACATTTGTTTTTAAATCGCAATTCAAATCTTAGTGCAGCTTATCTAGATACAGAGAACTGAATAAATATTGATTTTGAGGGATAGTGAAGAAGAGCCTGAAAAAAAGGAGTCATGTGATATTTGCTTTTAGTATTTTTTTTAACGTAATGTTGAGATGAAGGAGAGAGAGAAAAAGAGAGAGAGAGAGAGAGAGAGAGAGAGAGAGAGAGAGAGAGAGAGAGAGAGAGAGAACCAGCTCTCTGAGGAAATTGCCCTCCGCTCTCCTTCATCACTGCAGGTCTGCTTCCCCCTCCTCCTCTCCTGGATGTCCGCCATTAGACACGCTCAATTGGATTCCTGTCAGATGTACGGCCTCGCCCTGGGTCTCCTTCCTATGGGTGACTGAGCATGCTGTATGTGTGTGTTCCAGCGTGTGTGTGTGTGTGTGTGAGAGAGAAAAACCTAAGCAGCTTTCCCTATAAAAAATTGCGAACACAAAATGACATTCACACATAAACAAACATGCACACACATGCACGTTCCAGTACACATAAACACACACTACGTGAGCCACATACACACAGTTCAAGGCTCAGTTCCCTCCAGGCAGTGGTCTAGAGACGGCACACACCTATTAGCATGGGCCTTGGCACAGCAGGGTAAATGCTGACACAGATTTAGCCGAGAGGTTATGGTACTGAGATTTACTGTGTGCCTATGTTCATTGACCTAGCCTTGGCTTCTTCCAGGATATGTCTGCATGATGTGACCATTTGACCAAATTGCTATGGGTGTAAGCTGCTTACACCTTGACCTATCAAAGGGGAATAAATGGCTCCCTGGGGAGTTGACCAAACAATGCTAGTCCCTATAACACTTGCCATGTTCACCTTTCACTGGCAGAGTCATTAAACTGTTTTGTTTGGTCAGAATATAAAAGTGACAGCAAAACTCCAGCTTGAACCACAGAGCTAAATATCAAAGGGATTATAGCTGCCATTTAGAATTATGTTTTATAAATTCCTATTCATATTAACAGGCAACAAATGATGGTATTGGATGGATCTGACCCAAGCCCTTTTCTTCATGCTATCCCCTCTCTCCCCTCTTGTCTATCTCTCAACTGTTATTGTCATTATCAATGGGCAAAATGGCCAAAAATAATTATCAAAAACAAAATAAAATTATATATATATATAAAAAAATGCCATGGTATGAAATATAATGAGTTTGTATCATTTACTTTGAGTCTGACTCACATCTGAACACAGCCAGTGGTGAACTGGGTTGTGGCTATTATAGTAAGGCGAGGATCAGAGCACAGAAGTCCAAGGATCAATAGCAAAGGTTAAAAGAAGAAGAAGAAAGGAACAGCCGGGCTAAAAGCAATGCATCTGGGAACATTTTCTTTCTGACTGCCTGTGTGTTTCTTTGAGCCTGTGAAGACTGTGTGGATACAGTGGTTACTTCAGTCTCAGGTTTGATGACATAGAGCAGACAGCATGAATAAGAAAGGTAGAGGACAGAACTTGACACAAAATGTGTACTCGGTTTCTTTGACCAAATCATACCATTTCTGGCCAAAATCCCTAAAATGATTAATTTCAGGATAATGGCATAAAAGCTAGAGGAAAAAAACATAACATTGTTGGTGAGGTCTTATAAAAATGATTAAACTGACAACATCCTGAGCTTTGATAGCCTACAGGCGAGGAACGAGACAGGAGTAAAAATACACCACTCTCCCTGAAAACCCTCAAATGTATAGACAAGGCTTTGGCAAACAGGCAAATCTAAAGCATAACTAATGACTGTGCAGGAAAAAAAGAGGCATGGAATTCATTTGTGTGGTAGATGTAAAGTTGGGGGCAGGGCAGAAACTTTGGTAGGCTAATTAGCTTCTATTATCTGTCGCGCCCAGTGGCCTGTGCCACTAATCCTGCTGATTAAACACAGTGGGTCTCTGCAGCTCCACAGCTCACAGTAGAACCAGACTGATAAGGCCACAGAGCTCAGCGATGACATAAATGTCTGGGTGGGACTGGACTACACAGGACTGGCACTGCTCTGCTTTGCATTATACCACAGGGTCCTGATGTGAGAATTAAACGAAGCTAAGATTCGGATACAGTCAATGAATAAAATCAGTAAAAGTTTAAAGATAAATCCAAACAGCCACCTTTTTTAGACAGCTCTAACAAAATCCAACACTAATATCAAACCAACATTTTACTCATCTCGTCCACCACATTTAAAGTGGAACCAGCAATCACTCCAGTACTTTAGCATTTACCAGTGCTTGCTAATCTAATGCAGCTTTGAATTCCAGGGTTTTAAATATTTTGCTGATGCCTGCGTCGTCTTCAAGGTTTCATGTGGACTTGCACCCCCAACAGTGAGTCACTTTATAATGCAGAAAAGCATTAATAGGGCAAAAGGGAAATCAGGGGACTGTGTGGTGCAGTCTTCTCAGTCAGAGCCAGAAACTTTTTGAATAGTTTACCTGTTGACTTAAGAGAAGGTTGTAATCATCTAATCTTTAATATAAATCTAAGACATAACTTCAAGCTAAACAAAGGTGTGACATGTAAATATTCCAATCTATTTTAGTTTCATCTAAGCCCGTGTATTGTATCAGTGTATTGCATTATATAGTTTATTTCTATCATGGTTCTCTTTTGTTTTCTGTTTGCTTTTGTTTATTGTGGATTTGCTGAGCAGCTAGTTGTGCATTGTACTGCACATGTACTATCCATAGATATGTGGAATTATGTACAGTATGGTAAGTCTTTTATTTCACTTCCAGTTGCCTTTCAAGAACTGGAAAACATATGAAAATAAGACTAAGAACTAACTCTGGTTAGCTAATGGTTTTGATTCTGTTAATGGCCTAATTACATGAAACATTTTAAATGTTCATAAATACAGGTGGTCATTTTTCTACTATTATTAGTTATGTTATTAGGTGAAAAATGTGACACAAAATACAAATACATCTATAACATCAGGATGATTACTCTTTAGGCCTTTGAAATGGTATTACAGAACACAGATCCACATGACCTAGCACTCGAAGATATGTTTGTTTCGGTGCAGTTGTCCCACAATATCAATACATTATTTCAAAAGTAAGTTATTTAGAGATCATTATTTTACTTAATACTATATTGCATATACTTAAATGGCTTCCTGTGGTGTAAAATAATACAATAATACCTGCCAAACTTACTAACAAACTCATCAACCATAAAATGTCAATCAAATGTGAAAAACATTTATTTTACATCTAAACTGTTCACTTCCCCACAACACGGACTAAGACTTTAAAAGTTTCCACTCGTCAAACAGCACAGCATACTCACAGTGAACATGGTGCGAAAGTTGCTGAGATCAGTGAACAGCTCCTCCACAGAGGTCTTCTTGGGATCAATTGCGAAGTACTCCAGCAAGTTCTGATACAGAGTCTCCATATTGCTGTGCATGATCACCAGTTTGCCATACTGCTCCCGCGCAACCTTGCTGAAGCTGTGGGGACGTGGTCAAGGTCAACAACACATCCATCACACATTCAGAGTAAATTAAATGTTGCTGTGAGTGCTCCTCTGTTTGACAGCAATGCAGGAAATTGAGGATGGAAAAAAAAAACATATTTGAAGCTGGAAGAAATCTGGAGAGCAAACTGAGTAGTAAATTATGATGTTGACATCGCAGATGATGTCAGTCAGGTTACTAATACTGTGCATTCAGGGCTATGACCCCCTGTAGACCACTCTCGTCTGACTGCTGGCAAACTGTGTTGGTGTATCTGACTATATTACAATATCAAAGTAAAAAAGAGACACATTTACATACAAACACACA